CACTTCTCGACACACATCTCACAGTTTTCATTGTTAATTTATTTCTTCTGCAATTTGCAACAGATGGAAGTACCTTTTTAAAATTCTAATCAATTGAATAAACTTGTAAATAATCTCTAACTATAATTCTGCATCACGTTTTCGCTTAAAAAAATTATCATTCAAAAAAAGTCCAAAAATAATTTTTATTTTAAGTAATTACTCACATTTAAAGTCACGTTCTTGAATAGTTATTTTATAAATTTTATAAATTAAAAATTAATATGAGCAGAGAAAATTCCCGCGAATAAATTACCTGCAAGTGAACAATTGTGAGTATATATGTAACAGTGTCGTGTGTGGTTGATGCAAAAAGACTTACGCAAAGCATGAATGGATGACTCGATGAAAGAGAGAGCATAAGTCGCGTGACGTCCTCACGTGTCTCGTGCTTGACCTCGATCAAACTCTATGTACTAGGGGTGTGCGAATAATTCGAACTTACGAATTATTCATTTCGAATCGAATATTAATATGCGAATCGAATAATTTGAATTTTCAAATTATTCGTCGAATTTCTATTAATTCAAAAACTCGAATTATTCGATTCGAATTTCAAATCGAATATCAATACTCGATTGGAACGATATTCGCACACCCGTATTTGAAATTGTCGATAAGTTCATTATTAATCATTCTTATGTACCAATTGAATCGTTTTCACATTCTCTACATCAAGAATTCTAGGCCAAACAGTTGATTAGATTAGTAACTTGGAAGAAATTTAGAGTTTTCATTTTTACATGTCCGCGTGGCTATTGCTATCAAGACTTATCAAGACTTAACTAGACTAGGGTTTAAAATTAGGGGGTGTGCGAATAATTCGAACTTACAAATTATTCGTTCCGAATCGAATAATTTGAATTTTTCGATTATTCGAAAAATTACGAATAATTCGAAAAAGTTCGAATTATTCGAATTCTTTCGAATTATTCGAATTCTTTCGAATTATTCGAATTCTTTCGAATTATTCGAATTCTTTCGAATTATTCGAATTCTTTCGAATTATTCGAATTCTTTCGAATTATTCGAATTCTTTCGAATTATTCGAATTCTTTCGAATTATTCGAATTCTTTCGAATTATTCGAATTCTTTCGAATTATTCGAATTCTTTCGAATTATTCGAATTCTTTCGAATTATTCGAATTCTTTCGAATTATTCGAATTCTTTCGAATTATTCGAATTCTTTCGAATTATTCGAATTCTTTCGAATTATTCGAATTCTTTCGAATTATTCGAATTCTTTCGAATTATTCGAATTCTTTCGAATTATTCGAATTCTTTCGAATTATTCGAATTCTTTCGAATTATTCGAATTCTTTCGAATTATTCGAATTCTTTCGAATTATTCGAATTCTTTCGAATTATTCGAATTCTTTCGAATTATTCGAATTCTTTCGAATTATTCGAATTCTTTCGAATTATTCGTCGAATTTCGATTAATTCAAAAACTCGAATTATTCGATTCGAATTTCAAATCGAATATCAATACTCGATTGGAACGATATTCGCACACCCGTATTTGAAATTGTCGATAAGTTCATTATTAATCATTCTTATGTACCAATCGAATCGTTTTCACATTCTCTACAAGGATTCTAGGCCAAACAGTTGATTAAATTAGTAACTTGGAAGAAATTTAGAGTTTTCATTTTTACATGTCCGCGTGGCTATTGCTATCAAGACTTATCAAGACTTAACTAGACTAGGGTTTAAAATTAGGGGTGTGCGAATAATTCGAACTTACAAATTATTCGTTCCGAATCGAATAATTTGAATTTTCGAATTATTCGAAATTCGACGAACAATTCGAAAAAATTCGAATTATTCGAAAAATTACGAATAATTCGAATTCTTTCGAATTATTCGTCGAATGTTGATTAATTCGAAAATTCGAATTATTCGGTTCGAATTTCGAATCGAATATCAATATTCGATTCGATTCGATTCGAACGATATTCGCACACCCCTACTATGTACTCTCACAATTGCATTACAATTTTATTTTTTTTATATTATATGTATTGTAAAATATGTAACAATGTCCTATTATTTGTGACAATTAAATAGATTAAGATTTTAGGGGTAACGAGCCGTTGGTTGTCACTCGATATTATGTATTAATTTTAAAAACTATGTTTATTATGAATACACGAGCGACGTGTGCCGGAAGTGGTTCCATATGCCCCCAAGTAAGTCTGACCTGTTGAACCACCTCGCCACCGGAAGGACTTTTTGTCCTCGTCCGTAGATTTTTTTCTTTTTAGAACAAAAATAAAAACAATAACAATCTAGGTCTCTTCTTTTCTGTAACTAAAAATCTAAAAAGATTTTTTTATATATTTAATAAGCTTTATTAATGGTTAATGAATATTGTTAAATTGCACTGTACTTTCTTAAATATTGACGTTTTTAAAGATATAACTATATATTTAAGCTCATCCTAATGTTACACTCATCAAGAGCTTTCATTTGAGTACCCACATGCATTTTTGATATATTTTTCATGTATACATATATATAATATATATAAATATATGGAAAATTGATGTGGGTACTCAAATGAAAGGTCTTAACGAGTGTAACATCAAGATGAGCTAATATCTTTAAAAATGTCAATAGTTCACAAGATACAAGGTCATTTATTAATTATGTATTCTAGAGAAAAAATTTTTTTTATTCTCGTAATATAGATCATTTATAAAGATAATTTTTGTTTATAAGCAAAGGAAACAAATTTACAAATTTAGTCAACAAAATATTTATTAAAATAATTGTCTTCAAATAAATAAAATCATTAATAATTAAAACAAATCCTTCTATCAATGCATAAATATTAAAATGCAGATTGCATTATTATAAAATTTATTGGTACAAATTAAAGTATGCAAATACCTGAGCATTTGCTACCAACTAATGATGTCATTTAAAAATGCAAATCTATAAATTATAATTTATAATTAATGATCATTGAAACACGAGTTCAATTAGCGATCCAGTTTGTATATACGTAATACCTGACGACGAATAAAAAGAACGTGACGTCATTTAGCAACGCGTGCCTCGGACACATAAAGCCGATCACAATTATTGTGTCCCTATCGACAGGATCAAGCTTTAATTCCCTTCTCAAAATTGCAAAGGAGGAGCTTCAGACTCCAACATAATATAAAGATATAATACAAAATAAATTCCCTAACTTAAATCTAGATAATCTAGAATTTTTCTGTTAAACAATAAATATTCTCTAGCTGGTGATGCGCATGCACGTCCTGCATAGCGTATTTACAAAATACCCATACCTTGATCCTATAACTGTCTGTGTACACATATATAGATCAGAAGCATACAAGTTTCCGTGGCTGAGCGATAGGCAGCGATAGGGTGGTTGACGCGTGCAGCCGGCCTGCAGCTGCCTCCCTTGAATCTCCCCTACTATATTTGTGTTCCCTTGCTCCACCTCTCGCTCACTTTGCCATGCCACTGCATACCACTATACCAGGCAATGGCTCCCAGTGTGTTTACGTTTCACGTAAAGTAATATAAGTCTGTGTGGATTCTACCCCAACTTACCTTCTTTTTCGGGCTTCTAGCTCACCAGCTCTCTCTTTCTCTTTCTCTTTCTCTCTCTCTCTCTCTCTCTCTCTTTCCATCCATCATGACGGAGGATCATATAGACGGTGTCCTTTAGGGCCCAGAGACCACCATTATAAGTAGGGGTGCCGGTCGACTGATACCTCCAGTCGAGGGTTGATCTCAGTTGCTCTCACTTAATCTTGGCCAACTGTTTTCAAAGCAAGGCGCCCTTTTTATTAAATTTATTTTATTAATTACCACGTGTATTATCAGTGCAAGTGACAATTGGAATTATTAATAATTGTGAAAATTAAGTTAGCCTTCTAAAAAATTAAAAAAATTTTTTTTATTAAAAAAAAAAAAAGTCATATATAAAAAACTTTAAAAACTATAAGTGCATTTTTTTTAAAATTATTTTTTAATTAATTAAAACAAATCAAAAACGTCGGCTAACTTTAGTGAAGTTAATAAAATAAAATTACTTACATTAATTTAAATAATTATTTAAAAAGTGCATGTGTTATCATCTGAGTTGAAGATCTTGGTGCAGTGCTTTCAATAGAGGATATTAGTGTCTGGTGGTAACCAAGTGTGGCGTTAGTGAAAACGATCTTGCTTTAAGAAGAACTACAAACAAGAATAAGAAGAAATAATATATAATTTTTTTTGTAATTTTCCAACGGGATTTTTTTTATTTAATGCCAAGAATTAAATAAAAAAAAAGAAGTTATTTAAATAAAATAAAATTTAACTTACCTATACTCTATATCTGGTGAGTTGAATCCTTAACTCTTTCAACTTACCCCCACCACTGAGGAGAAGTAACTGTCGGCTTGGAGAGGGGAAATAGGGGAAGCTCAGAGAGTCATCTTGTTACACCGGTACGCCAGTTGAAATCAACAGAGTGTGCCACCACAGTGTGCCAGTAAGCGATCCATCGTCGACGGAAGACGATGCTCTGCTCTCTACCGGGAACTTCCTTGTCTGTCATATTTTTTACCCAGTGATAAATAAATAAATAAATAAACAAAATAAATATTTAATATTATTAATTAATTAATTAATTATTATTTTGTGAAAGTGAGTGTTTTTGTTAAACATTTAAAAAAGAATTTTTTTTGTTGACTGGTGGCATGGATTAATGGAATACAACTGTGTACTTGTGTTGTGTTGATACAAACAGTGCCCTGCTAAGTGAATAATAATTATTTTTTTGATAAAAATAGTGGAGATTATTTTGTTGGGAAGAAATTGGAGAAAGAGCGCCTATGGCTGTGCATAGAATAATTAAAAAAATTACCTCGAGTAGGTAACGGCTAGTTGACGAATTTAGTATCGTAAACATCGGAGACGGCTCTGAATAACTAGAGCTTTTGACACAACATGTGGACGACGATGCTAGTGTGGACGGTCGCGGTAGTGCTTTTGCCGTCACCTCGTACAGTAAGTTTTATTTTTTTATTTTGTTTTTTTTTTTTTTTTAATTTGCTCAGATGGTTGTTGTTAAATAACTTGAAATTACCGATAGCCATCGGAAGCATGTACATGACATCACCACAAATATACCGATAGTCCAACAAATTAAATTAATGGCTTTAAAATACTATTGCTGTTCGTCGAATTCTTCATCCGGTTGTTAAATTCTTTGGTTTTAATTTATTTTAATTTTTTCTTTAATATTCATATTTGGTTTTAACTTTCTAGTTGAGAAATTAAAGGAATTTTTTAATTAGTTGTGAAAATTTATTTAATAATTTTTATAATAAATTAGAGCAAAAAAAATTGATATTTAGAAATTAAAAATGCAATTTTTTTAAATAAAATTAAAAAGAGAATTTTTTAATTATTTATAAAAATTAATTTAATAATTTTTGTAAAATAAATTATAGCAAAAAAAATTTTTTTCAAAAATTAACATCTAGAAATTGAAAAAAATTAAAAATGCAATTTTTTAATATAATTTTTTTGGAAATAATTGATTTTTTTAAATAAAATTAAAAGGGAAATTATTAAATTATTTATAAAAATTAATTTAGCAGATATTTAGTAATTTTTTAAAATAAATTATAGCAAAAAAAAAATTGACATTTAAAAATTAAAAAAAATAAAAAATGCAATTTTTTGAAAATAATTTATTTTATTAAATAAAATTAAAATGGAAATTTTGAAATTATTTATAAAAATTAATTTAGCAGATATTTAATAATTTAAATAATTTTTGTAATAAATTATAGCAAAAAAATTAAAAAAAAAAAAAAATTGAAATTTAATATAATTATTTTAAAATGAAAAAATAATTTTAAAAATTAAAATAATTAAAAATTATAATTTGTTGGTGCGTTAACTACTTGGCAGGAGATGGATAAAAAAAAATTGCATGTATATAAAAACATATATGGTTGTTATAGGGGAGAGATAGCACGTGCGGCAATCGTGTCACATCGTGTCGACTCCCGTCGTGTAAAAATTCCTAAGGATTCTCTGGAAGAGCATAGCCATCTTATGTTAGTCTTCTAGCTTGGTCTTTAATAAAATAAAGTTAAATACATACTGTACGCTTAATAATCTGTGTGATATAATGTATGCCTGCAGATGACGAAGGCGGATGAGAGTCGAACAAGATCGTATACGTTTTAGTTGACGTATGATGTCATGTGTAATATGTAAATGCTTTATAAATAAGCCCCACTATTAAAAAATTAAATAAAAAAAAAAATAAAATTATTATCCAAACAAATACTGACTGTGGTGTTAATTTTCAGGTGCATGCTTCGGGGGTGTTTGAGCTGAGACTCAAGTCCTTCATCAACGAGTACGGGAAAGACAACACGGGGAAATGCTGCTCGGGAATGACTTCCAAGACCAGCAATGAGTGCATTGGAACCTGTCAGACCAGGTTCAGGATTTGTTTGAAGCAGTACCAGGCGAAGATCGACACCACGACCCCCTGTACTTACGGGGACGAGGTGACACCCATTCTCGGGGGCAATGTTGTTAATCTCAGCCCTGATGTCTCTACTCCCAGAGGCTTCACCAACCCCATTAGATTTTTCTTCAATTTTTCCTGGCCGGTAAGTTATAATTATTATTTTTTACTATTATTATTTAAAGTATGAGGTGTACTTACAACAAAAAAACCGGCTTCTAACATGAAAATTAAGTTAGCCGACATTTAAAAACTTTAAGAACTTTTTTTATTTAAAAATTATTACAAAAAGAAGAAAATAAAAAATTGCACTTAAATTGCATTTAACAAATAAAATTTAAAAAAAATTTATTTGAAATGATTTTTTCAATAAAATAAATTCTAAAAATTTTTTTATTAAAAAAATTACTCCAAAAAAAAATTTCACCTGTAAAAAATTTAAAAAACTACATGTGCAATTTTTTAAAAATATTTTTTAGTACTAATTAAATTATTAAAAAAAAATTAAAAACGTCGGCTATATTCTGTATCATGCTTCTGACAATAAATTTTGATCAAGTGCTTGTACAGGAGTTTAGAGTGTTGTAAAAAAGAGAGCAGATGGTGATGTAAGAGCGAGATAATACCAAGCTAAAAAGCTCTGGGTCTATTGTTGTCGGTGTATTGTCCCTCGAGATACCGAACCTGCAAGAGACATGCATATGGCGACTTATCGCATCATCTCTAGTACTCACTCTCGATATTCTATCTAATAGTACAGTGAGCGGCACAGCTAGTATAGTCCCAGAAGTAATATAAAGTATTTTAGTGAAACTTAGATCTGGGCATCCTGTCCCTCATCCGCTTGATCCGCTCGAGTGTCTACTCGATTGATGTTATAGTTAAAACGCAAACTCCCAGAGCTGGAGTTTAATTTACCAACATATGGCGTCTGCTCACCGGCTAGAATTTTATTTTTTTATTTTACAAATTTTACTAGAAAATAACTTACCGATTTAAGAATGCAAGATAATAAAATAGTATTTTTTTTTTTTTAAGTTAAGAAACTCCTGAAATCTTTTCTTGGCTCTTTAATTAAATTTTTTTGGAGCTTGAATTGTGAAGTTAATTCTGAAAAAAAAATTCTGTAATTGAGTGTGAGATATAAGATAAAAGTATTATATGTAGCGAGGGTGTACTGGGTCCCAACAATCTAATGGATAAATAGCTACCGCTTGGAGTAGAGATTGTTTGGAATAAATTACTCTTTATGTTAAATTAATACAAACGTAACCATCCGAAAGTGCAAAGTAGTCTCTAGTCACGTGTACTGTTTGTATGTGTATGCTTTTAGCTATTTATTAGTCCATATAAATAATCAAAATTAAGTTAGCCGACTTTTGAAAATTCTTATTAAAAAAATTATTACAAAATAATAAAAAAAATTTTTCATTTGTAAAAAACTTTAAAAACTGTAAGTGCAATTTTTTAAAAATCTTTTTTAGTTTTAATTTAATAATTAAAAAAAATTTACTCCAAAAAAAAAAAATTGCATTTGTAAAAAATTTGAAAAACTGTAAGTGCATTTTTTTAAAAATATTTTTTAGTTATAATTTAATAAATTAAGCAAAATAAAAAAATAAAAAATGGCTAACTTTTCATTGAAAATTAAGTTAGTGATTTAAAAATTTTTAGAATTTTTTTTTATCAAAGAAATAATAAAAAAAAATTATCATTTGTAAAAAACTTGAAAAACTATAAGTGGAATTTTTTAAAAAATCTTCAGTCCTAATTTAATATGTAATTAAAAACGTCGGCTAACTTTAGTGTTGTGTATAAATATATGTGTTATGTAAATAAAGCTTAGACACAGACATGACATAAAAATGAATAGACTTGTGATTTAATAACAGCGAGTTGATGGTGTGTGTGTGTGTGTGTGTGTCTAACTAATAGTACTAGCAATAGTAGGGATAGTGTAGAGAGATATAACGATAATAAAGTATAAATAGCGATTGAATTAGCTGGCGCCTTGTTATGTTAGCTATTGAGTATTATATGGAGTATATATAAATATAATCGGGATGAGATACGTTTGATGGTGATGGTACTGATGGTATGGTATATAATACCTGTTTTAGCGTTAATCGCGGAGTATAGATCTGATGAGCCATTTGGTATTTTGTTGGTTGGTTCTTTGGTGGTTGTTGTTTCCTCGGGACTATGACTGTGTCCAAGATGATTAATAAGTACAAATACATACTCGTACGGCTGAGATTGCATCGACTACAATTTGCCTGTATTGTGTGTACAATATTAAGAATAATGTGTGAGTGTGCTATGCGTGAAAGAAGAGATGAGAGACATGAAAGAAGAACAAGACAAGTGTGTGCTGTTGGTGTTGGTGTAGGTATGTCGGATTGCCTTAGCACAACTCGTGGGAACCGACTCCCGAGTGAGCTGCGCCCCGTCTCGCCTTCTCGTATTCTCTCTCTCCTGGGTCAATTCATTCTGGCTGGCTCTTTCTCGAGCCGTTCTCTCTGGCTTGCTCACTTGCTCTCGCCAAAGACCAAAGATACCTTGGCTGCAACTTTATAGCTCCCTCCTTCTCGTACATCTGTCAGACAAAGAGCATTGTTGTATGTATGAGTGTGTGAGATTTATACATATATATATATATATATATATATATGTGATCATTCTCAACTTAAAGTTTAACAAACTTAGTTTGGAGTATGTTGTAGAGAGCATTCAGTATATAGTATATAGTATATAGTATATAGTATAGCCCACATTGTTCCCCCGAGCTCAAGTGCTCGAGGTTTTAGTTTGTTGGAATACGTTTTTTGTCAAACTCAATACCGATTCCTCAGTAATAACGGTGGCATTTGTCTCCTCGGTAATTTATCTCCACCTACTTTTTATTTACGACAAAATCACCAGCCCAGTCGATACTATACAGTCTTACTAAGTGTGCAAATACCTTAAAGTTGCACTAAATCTTCCTAAAAATTTATTTTATGTTATTTCTTCTTTTGAATCTGAAAAAAAAAAATATTATTTAAAATGCATTTCTTCCTTTTTTTTAAAGTTTTATTATTATTATTTTATTTTAATAATAATTATTATTATAATTTAATAATTTAATCATAATTTGATAATAATCATTTATTAATTGAATTTAATAATTATAATAAAATTTTCAATAAAAATTGGAATTATTATTATTATTATTATTATTATTATTATTTTGTTAATTAGCTTTTTCTTTAGTTTCATTAGTTACTTAAATTAATTGATTAAAGTATAGAAAATTTTATTTAAATAATAATAATAAAATTTTAAGAAAAAATTGCTACTATTATTATTATTATTATTATTATTTATTAACATATGCCAAGGCACAGTCCATATGGCAACTTACATAATTTAATTATTTTATTGTGTGTACATTTTAATATTATAATTGTTTCTTAATAATATCTCGTCTTAAAGTTAATTTATAAATTAAAAATTAAAAAAAAAGATCATAATAAATTAATACATAAAATTTAACATAATCTATTCTTATTTAAAGTCTAGATTTAATAAATAATCATAAATTTAATTTTTTAGATATTTATTGACATAATTAAATTTGTCCAGTTCTTGCAATTGCCTTATAATTAAATGTATTATACATTTACAATTCCTCGCGAGTTTTGGTTAATTGTATCATACATTATTTGTTATAAATTTATATAATTTTAACATGTTTAGTTATTAGGTAAAAAAATATTTATTAAAAAACCTAAATAAATATAAATTATGCCTATTTCTTCTTGCCATACCGGCATTTATATTTATTCGCTACAATTATCATGCATGTTTCTCCAGATTAATATCTATATGCATATATAATATATAACATATGATACCGACATCACGAAACTAATTTATTTAAATATTTATTTGGTTCTCACCGGTGAGAAATTTATTATTTAAGCGCATATATAAACTAACGGGGTTATGTGTACATATACTTGGGATTTTAATAACCAAACGGATAATTAATTTTACGCTGCGTAATGACACTAATAATAATGATAATAATTAGAATAGTCAAGTCTGGCACATAAAATATATTTTTTAAAAGTGTAACCCTTTAAAAATTGTATCGTAATTTTGTGTAACACGTGTGGCAAGTAAGCACGCGTCACTTTTTCCCCCTCGTGTCATGATTTATCGCCTGCTGTGTGTGTGTCTCGCTATTGTTATTACTAAGCACATTTATACCTCTGCTCTACTCTACTCTGGAAGTTCACTAAAGGAAGGATAATAATTCCTTGCATGTTTCTTTTTCCCTTAAACGATATCACTGTCGTTGACATCAGCTGCTAATTTATTGAGCTCAAGACCGTTTAAAGACTGTCTGCAACAAAATTACCACTAGTATTAATATTTAAATATATACTTACAATAATAATTATTATTTTTATTTTCCAGGGAACATTCTCGCTGATTATCGAGGCGTACCATGACGCCAACAACGCGACTCATTCGTCTGGTAAGTTTTCTAAAAAAGTTTCCTATTATTTATTAGAAAAGTCTGGAGTTTTAAGAGTAAAAAAAGATATATTTTAACTTTAAAGAGGACAATAAATATATGAATGACGCCTGTTTTAAACCGTATAAAAAAACCTCTACAAAGTGAATGAATAAGGACGAAAACGTGTGGGCGCAAACACTGTGCTAGTGTTTCCTTCCTGTGTAACCTTATAGTATCTACCAGTGAGTAGGTAACACAAAACCCAAGTGTACGAAATCCTACATGATTCTTGTATTAACACTGCTGTAACCACCTTTTTTCCTTTTCCTCTCTGTAAACAACAATAACTATAATATTTATTTCTTATCTTAGCACCTGAAAAATATAAAAAATTAAAATTTTGCTTTATTAAATATCACTTTTGTTGAATTGTACTGTACTTTCTTAAATATTGACGTTTTTAAAGATATAAGCTCATCTTGATATTACACTCATCAAGACCTTTCATTTGAGTACCCACATGCATTTTTTATATATTTTTCATATATACATATATATAATATATATATATATAAATATATAAAATATAAGAAAAATTGATGTGGGTATTCAAATGAAAGGTCTTGAGGAGTGTAACATCGGAATGAGCCTATATCTTTAAAAATGTCTTTAGTTGACAAAATACAAGGTAATTTCTTAATTATTTTGATTAAATTACACTGTACTTTCTTAATTATTGACATTCTTAAAGATATAAACTCATTTTAATGTTACACTCATCAAGAGCTTTCATTTGAATACCTACATGCATTTTTGATATATTTTTCATATATACATATATATATATATAAATATATAAAATATATAAAAAATTGATGTGGGTACTCAAATGAAAGGTCTCGATGAGTGTAACATCAGGATGAGCTTATATCTTTAAAAATCTCAATATTTCACAAGATACAAGGACATTTCTCAATTATATATCTAGAGAGAGAATTTTCGAATGCAGTCTAAATACTTATCATAATCCTGGAAAAAAATGATTCTTATTCACTCAATAATATAAATTATTAAAAAAAATTACTTCTCATGAAAGAAGATATCCATAAAAATATTTGTCAGTTAAAAAATAACCTGGCGTAGCCCAATAACAATGAAGCAACTCGGTTTACGATAAAATTTCCATGTTCTGTTGAGAGTTCTCCCTAGCTTCCGTAAAAACGTATTGGAGGTTTTATATCCAAGTATTTTTTTTTTATTTAAAATATTTAGTGTTCTTTCTTGTGGGCCTGATAGTGTAAGACGGGATGAATACTCGAGAGTGAAGCGGACGTAAAAATCCAGCACGCAATATTTCCCGGTCGAAACGAGGGCTTTATTGCCGGGCTTACAGCTCGGATGCTGCTGTTGCTTCCTTTCTCACAATCGTCGAGCCCCCTCTTCTTCTTCTTCTTCTTCTTCTTCTTATCCTTATACCAGCCGAGCTCCATTCGCGTTCATTCTTCTTGTTATTTTCTACCTGCCTCGCCTACTACACCTGCCAACCCCGAAATTTTGTTCTTATTTTATCGCTCGAATTAATACGATACTATATATATATATACACATATAAGAGTATCGCCACACTACACGCGATTATATTATATACTCTCCCATAATTTTAAAATCTTTTAAAACATACACCTAAATTTGAATACATCGCTATCAAATCGACCAGTTGTAAATTCACATCCTCCGTCTACAATCTTTGATCTTAAATCCAATTTTTAATCTCGCTCCAACTTTTACGAGTCTTACTCCACCTTTAACAATAAAACAATAAAATAAAAAATAAAGCTCCATATTTTTATAAATAAAAAAATTTTCTATGATTGGCGTCTGATGATTGGTGATAGAATTGACGGTTGCGGGGCGTGAGAGCGATCCGAATCAAGTAGTCCAGACGCTAGTTTGAGTGGCTGGAATAACCATCAGCATCGCCAAGACTAAATCCAACAAGCCAAGATGATTTTAGTAGTGTGTAGTAGCCGGGTATACACAAAACCGCCACTTGCCTTCTGAGAAGACGCGCGCGTAGCGTTTGAGATACTATACTACAACACGAGAAAATGACTTTAAGTATCTTTGGGCACGCCATCCATCCCTCTTTCACTTATTTTCAGACTACTGAGACAAGCTATTCCCTTCCCCCTAAACTAAACGTCAGACCATTTCGACCAAAGCACTTCACTGCTCAGCAAATATTTTTTATTTTATTTTATCTAACTCCAAGGTATACATTACCCAGCTTTTACTTTTCACGGTACATGCATAACGGGTTAGTTTTATTTTTTATTTAATTTAATAATATTACTTTATTACTAAATATACTCTGGAGAGATAAACGACAAAACCTCTGACCGGGATAAAAGATCTTAAGTAGGGAAAAAAGGGCCAGCTTGTATTATATATTGGCTCGGTGCAATACTTATCTCACACCAAACTTTCTTTCTACCGGATGCACAGCAATAGCGGACGAGCGTCCGGTCTCTGTGCTGCTGCTGTTTTTGATGATGATGATGACCATGTTTTCTCGCAAACTCTAGCCTGAAAAATAAATTTCATCAGCAGTAAAGACTTGGACACTAATGAATTTTTTTGTTACAGAAAAAGTCCTCATATCGAGGTTGACGACCCAGAGATGGGTCGACGTCGGGACAGACTGGCTCGAGGATGTGCACACAAGCGCCCATGCGCGGATGGTCTACGAGTACAGAGTTATCTGCAGCACCAACTACTACGGCAAGGGATGCGAAAATATCTGCACAGCTCACGACGACATTTTCGGACACTACACCTGTAGTTCTACTGGGAAGAAAGTCTGTCTCTCGGGATGGAAGGGCGAATACTGCAACACCCGTTAGTATTATTCACTATTATATATACCTTCTACAATCATTCTACTGCTTGGTTCTCATTGTTCGTCGCTCGTTACGCGACAATGTCCGGTCTAATTGTCCTGTTGCGCAACCCCCTCAAGTAATCACAATCATAATAAATTATTCCCTTGGAAATTATCTGGAAAGAAAAATTTTTTTTAAATTTATTTATTTATTTATACTGATAAAAAAATTAACTTGACTTAAGAGCCAAAATTTTAAACCAAAAATACTTGTTGAAGAAATTATTCTATGAAAATTAATTTAGCAGATATTTTATAATTTTTTTAATAAATAAATTATGTCAAAAAAAATAAGAAAAAAAAATTGAAATTTAGAAGATTAAATAAAATAAAAAATACTATTTTTTAGAAATAATTTTTTGGAGTAAATTTATTTTAAAATGGTCAAGCGACTGCTAACTTTAATGTCATTATTATTCTTGGTCTAAGAAATTTTTTTTTGTTTCAAGAATTTATTTTCTTGACTCAAGAAAATAATTTTCTTAAAAATAGTATTCTTGGGTCTAGATTTTGGTTCTTTAGTTAAGTTAATTTTTTAATCAGTGAAAATGCCAATTAGCAATATATACATCCATGAGATTATAATAAAAAAAGGAAAAATATACAATTGCACGACTTATAATGCGAAGCATCAACTATTTTTATTATTATAGTCTTGTTAATTTATGAAATCAAAATATTTTGCATACTATTGTAAAGATAATTAAATTGAGATTAATTTGACACTTTTTAAAAATTAATTTAGTTCAATAGAAACGGAAAAAAACATCAAAAATTTTCCTGTCCAAGTTTGTAACTCCGAGAACACTGTAACTTGTAAAAAAAATGCATTAATTGAGTCAAATTTTTTTTTTTTAATTATTTAAAAGAATTTTAGGTCACCAAATGCAAATGTCTAGATAATTCAGTGTTATTTCATTAATATTTCATAATTAAATGAACATTATAAGTCGTGCACTTTTATATTTTCCAAAATTTTTATAATTTCAAGAGAAATAATTTCACATTTTAAACATTTGTCAAAAATACTACAGTTTATCCGGAGAAATTTATCAGGATACTAAAAAAAAAAAAAAAAAAAAATAATTAATTTATTTAAATTAACTTGATTAATTTAATAAAATTAAGAAGTTTCTTGTCCATGTTTATGAAGGATCCATATTAGCGAAAAATCAACCGTTATAACTTCAATAGCTCCAAAAAAAATGATAACAATACATTGCATAATAAATTTGATGAATAGTTAGGGTCGAAGCTCGAGGATTATTTAACCCCGATGAATTGCAAGCAGTAAAATATATTTTATTGTACTATTAGTCGTAATAAGTCCGCGTTGTCTGGAATCCTCTGGCGATTACGACTGCAATAAGTCAAAGGGGTGAATTATTTCGGGGGTTGATAATTTTATCTTTGCTTTTCTTAGTCTGCAGTCTACACATACATTGTATAGTGTATAGTGTATAGTGTGGTGTAGTGGCAATGAAGGCATAGAGAGTTAGAGGACAAGGCAGCTGCAGTGCGGCCCAGGGCTGCCCTCGACAGCTGCCTCGTCGGGTACCTCGTTGGGTGCTTTAACTGACAGCTGCTCGAGACTTGGCCATCTACTTCTCTTTCTCTCACATCCATATCCATATCCATACACATAGATATTAATTTTAATGGGTTTTCCTTTTTTCTTGGACATTGACTCGCGACATACCTGACGCTTCCTGACCTTCTTGTGTGCCTTTCCACACAAAACTTGTCCAAAAGCAGGTAAAACGTACCAACGTATCCAATAAAAATGGATAATAGACAAGAAGAATAATATAAAAGTACCTATGCTACAACAATGTAGCTTTTTTGTCATGTTCCTTTTCACGTGCAAGTCCTTTTATTTGACTGGACTGAGCTCACATCACCTTTTATTTTATTTTATTTTATTCCATTATACAATTCGGACTATACTACCAACGGAGAAAGCCGGCGAAAAATACAAATCGATAAGGCCGTTACACCATCACAAAGGTGGAGCTTTTCCTCACCTGAAAAATAAAGAAAAAAAAACACAATTACTTTCTGCGAAATTATAAACAAATGTCTGCAATAAAATTAAAAAAAAAAAAAAGAAATGATAAAGGCAATAATAATAATAATAATAATAAAATAAAATAGTCAGTGGGGGCGGAAGAATGAAGAAAGAATAAAGAAATATGGAGGTTCTTGTCGTAAATTCTTTTCTTGATTCTCATTTTTTATTTGTCTCTCACAAGCAATGTCAGGGTACATACACACTCTGGACTGAGGCACGGCTTTAGCGGCTTTAGCGTTTCCTCAGACTCTTACTGGCTGGTATCAGGATCGAGGAATCCCTGGGATTCGGCCATTCCTTTCGCAGCCTTTCGGCGTGGATATATGCGCCGCGGAGCACACAGACTATAAATACCAAACGTTGGTTATTCGCGGGCAACCGTAAGACGACAAGGAGACAAGAAGAAGAAGAAGAAGAAGAAGAAGAAGAAGAAGAAGAAGATAAAGCTAAAAGAAGAAATAAAAAAATAATGAAACTATTTAATGGTTAGTTAGAATAAGAGTCTGCGTTGATGACAGGATCTATAGAAAAGTATCACCAGGCTTAGCTTTACTTTGTCTGTTGTCTGGTTTTATTATACGTGCTGTATGTGTGTTGTGTACTGGTATGGCCAAGGTCGGGTGGCAAACGACAAGGAGAAGCGATGACCCAGCGGTAAAGTACATCCAAGATCTCAGCAACCCCCATTTAAGACCAAATGTTATCGTGACTGGACTCGTGGCTGGTAAACCAATCCTCCGTGGTACTCTGGTGGATAAAATACCAAAGCTGTACTGATATTATATCCCGCTTAGCTTAACTTACCTTACAGGTATACAGAGTTGAGGATACCAGTATGTACGCCGATTAACAAAAGTTCACAATGTACAGTCTGCAGTCCATTCTCCATCAGTGATTCTCCGTTAAAATATACCTCGGTTACTTTTCTTCAGCTTCAGCTTCATATCCATATCCATACACATCTACATATTACATACTTCATACTTTATACATACTGCATATTATGTACTGTATATATGTATGCTCCTTTTTCCTTTTACCCAGACGTTACGCTGCTGAATGCTTATTGCTTACTGCCATCGACTGGTTATGGCCACCAGCCAAATCCTCTATCAACGTACTCTACAATTTTTGCTCCTTTTAGTTCCGGGTTTTTGGTCTATTGATTTCTTCCTAAAAATTCTTTTAATATGTTAGCGTAAAATTTTATAAAAAAAAAATTTACTTTAATTGATAAATTAAATCTGATATAATTAGCCCCAATTGACAGGATTAATTCAATTAAATAACTCTAATTTTTTATACTCAACGGATTCCACTTGTTGTTTTTAAAACAGAGTTATTATAAAAAGGTACCCCAATAATTTCCAACTCCCTCGTTCTGAAAACAGTAAATAAAAACAACTATCAACCTTAATTTCCGTGACTTGTGAATTACAAATTAATAGAATTTTGCTTTATTAAATGAATTTTGTTAAATTGCACTATAATTTCTTAATTATTGACATTTTTCAAGATATAAGCTCATCCCGATGTTAGGCTCATCAAGAGCTTTCATTTGAGTACCCACATGCATTTTTGATATATTTTTCATATATACATATATATAAATATATAAAATATATGAAAAATTCATATGGGTACTTAAATGAAAGGTCTTGAAGAGTATAACATCAAGATGAGCTTATATCTTTAAAAATGTTAATAGTTCACAAAATACAAGGTCATTTCTTATTTATTTTTATTAAATTACACTGATGTAATTTCTTAAATATTGACATTTTTCAAGATATAAACTTATTTTAATGTTATACTCATCAAGAGCTTTCATTTGAATACCCACATGCCTTTTTGATATATTTTTCATATATACATATATATAAATATATAAAATATATGAAAAATTGATGTGGGTATTCAAATGAAAGATCTTGATGAGTATAACATCGAGATGAGCTTATTTCTTTAAAAATGTCAATAGTTCGCAAGATACAAGGTAATTTTTAGATTTCGTATAATTACACTGGCCCGAAAATTTCGCTTATTCTCTTAATAATATAAATGAGTAATTTAAAATTTTAAAGGACACTTATCAGCATAAAAAAAAACCTTAATGAGCGAATACGTAACCTTTGAATTTTTTGTTACAGCACAGTGCCTGCCCGGATGTAACGAACAACATGGACACTGTAATCGGCCCAACGAATGCACGTAAGTACAATAAATAAATATATTTAAAAGTTCATTTGAATATGTATTTTTTTGGTCTGTTTAAAATTAAAATATAAAAAAAGAGTTAGTAGATGTATCTAGATTACAGAGATTACAGAGATGCGGTGAAAGGCGTCGCTATAAATTGCAGTACAAAATAGTAAATAATAATAATAAAGTAGTTAGTTGAGTCGGGTGGGATAATAAAAGTATAAGTTTATTGGATGTACCGAGGAGCCGAGATGCCTAGCCGAGGTTTTGCGTTAACTCGATCATTTAATTAGTGTGTCCGGGGTTAATTGTCACTAATAAGTTAATATGGGGATCGGGACAATAAACAACCAGCAGTAGAAGCAGAAAAGCAGAAGCTGGAGATAGAGATAGAGATAGAGAGTTGGAGTTGAAACAATGACCGAGGAAAAAGTAATGCGGAAGCGGAGACGAGCCCCTGGCGTTTCGCGGAACAAGTACCTACGTGCCGTAAATTCGTCGTTCGTTTAACCTTTATAAATGTGTGATGTTGGTATGTGTAAGCCGGAGAACATACCGCGGTACCGTGAGAGCGCACTGTGTTATACGTATACTCTACTCACACAATCTACACATATTCATACTCATACTCATACTGGGATTGGTCTCCATTCGAATTACGTGAAAGAATCGCGTCGGACAACAGTCACGATTTTTATTTCGGAGTATGCTGTCGTAGACAACAGACGCGACACAATCCGACAGCCTCTGGTTCAACCTGTGGGAGTTGAATACTGATTATCATACTCATTATTGTATGCACGGGGTGCCGATTATTTACGACATACCTTTCCTGACAAATTCGACGACTTTTACTATCTTTATTTGTACCAGATGCCTAAATCAATCTTCATTCGGGTCTCCTTTTTTTTTTAGGCTCAGACTTTCTTCTTCTTCCGCTTCTAATTCATTTTTTTTTTTTTTTTTAATCATTTCTTCAATAATCTATAAAACTTTTTAGCAATTTAATTTTTTTCTTTAAAATTTATTGATGAACAATTTAATTATTAATAAAATTTAAAATGTTTTTAAACAAAAACTATAATTAAAATTTTTTTAATTCTAATTTATTTATTAAAGACATTTAATAATTTTTAATAAAAATTTTTTAAACAATTAAATTCACAAAGTAGATTTTTAAAAAAATTTGTCACGTTTTTAAACAAAAATTATAATTAAAAATTTTTTTAACTCTAATTCATTTATTAAAGACATTTAATAATTTTTAATAAAAATTTTTTAAACAATTAAATTCACAAAGTAGATTTTTAAAAAAATTTGTCACGTTTTTAAACAAAAATTATAATTAAAAATTTTTTTAACTCTAATTCATTTATTAAAGACATTTAATAATTTTTAATAAAAATTTTTTAAACAATTAAATTCACAAAGTAGATTTTTAAAAAAATTTGTTTTTTTTTTTTTTTTTTTTTTTTTTTTTTAAATCATTTCTTCAATAATCTATAAAACTTTTTAGCAATTTAATTTTTTTCTTTAAAATTTATTGATGAACAATTTAATTATTAATAAAATTTAAAATGTTTTTAAACAAAAACTATAATTAAAATTTTTTTAATTCTAATTTATTTATTAAAGACATTTAATAATTTTTAATAAAAATTTTTTAAACAATTAAATTCACAAAGTAGATTTTTAAAAAAATTTGTCACGTTTTTAAACAAAAATTATAATTAAAAATTTTTTTAACTCTAATTCATTTATTAAAGACATTTAATAATTTTTTAAACAATTAAATTATTACAAAATAAATTAAAAAAAAAAATTGAAATGTTTTTAAGCAAAAATTATAATTAAGAATTTTTTAAATTCTGATTTATTTATTAAAGACATTTAATAATTTAATTTTCTTCTTTATAAAAAAACTAGCCTCAAAAAAATTAAGAAAACTCTTCAATAAATTATTACCCTAAAAAAAAATGGATTAATTAGATTTAAAAAGGAGTATAAGTTAGGTATAGCTATGATAGCGATTGGAGTTCCTGAATCGAAGTTGCAGTGGTCTTTAGCCAACACATCTCGATCTCTTTGGTCGAAATCCATGTAGTAGGTGATATGAAGCGGTGAGTTGGTGTTGGAGTGCGGGTAGGCCGCGCTTGCGCAGCACTAGAGCCGCGTGACGGGCCCGTAACCTTTCCTTGACCCGCATACTGAGCGGCTGTACCGTGGCTCGAACCATGGCTCGAACCGTGGGAACACTACTCCTCGACTACTCATCCCTCCGCTTGCCTCTCTCTACCAGTCCACCACGGTGTTCGTCTGGCATCACTCTGCACTCTCTACTGCTATGCTCTCTACTCCTCCATATCCCAATCCGAATCCAGCCGCCTGCTGCTGTATTATATGTGTTGCTGCCGTAGCTGCTGCCGTACCAGCTTACCAGCTACTCACCTCTTTTCCTCTCCTCTTCTCGCTTCCTCTCCTACAACGGAGTCTTTCATCTCCTACAACGAAACCTCATACTCAAACTCAAACTCGGTACCTACAACTACAACTACTTACTTTATTCCATAGCAACTTAGTGAGTCGCCAACCAAATCTCAGCTTCTTCTTCTTCTCTCAAGACTACAAAGACTTTTACATAGTAGTGTAAGAATCCCATACCATCACAGCCATATAATTCTATGGATACTCAAGGTGGTGTGGATTGTCGATGTCGAGTCTGTCCGCAATGGCCGACCACCACATCCTCTTCCAGCTCTCCCACCCTTAATAAACTCCAAAAGTTCCTTATATTTCCATACCTAACCTCTATTCTTCCTTCCGTTCTTTAATTTCCTTTATTTCTTACCTTTTTATTATTTTTTCATCACATTTAATCTTAAATTACATAAGAAATTTTTTTATAATCCTGTAAAAAAAAAATTCCACTTGTGAAAATTAAGAAATAAACTTATTAGAGAAAATTTTTTAAATTGACAGCTGTTAACTAACTTCAGATCATAACCTAAAATTACACTGAAGTTAACTGACACTGGAATTTTTTTTATTACTTGTTTTTTTACATGTTAAAATTAATAAAAATTATTAGTAATAATTTTTATTGTAATTTTTTAAAATTGACAGCTGTTAACTAACTTCAGATCATAACCTAAAATTACAATGAAGTTAACTGACATTAAAATTTTGTTTATTACATATTTTATAGCTATAAAATTATTATAAAAAAATTGCACAAGTGAAAATTAAAAAAAAATTATTGATAATAATAATTTTTTATTGTAATTTGTTCCAAGAATTTTTAAAAATGACAGCTGTTAAACTAACTTCAGATCATAACCTAAAAAAACACTGAAGTTAACTGACATAAAAAATGTTACTTATAATTTTGTACCAACAAAAAATGAAAATGAAAATTAAAAAAAATTATTAGTGCAAATTTTTAAAATTGTTTTCATCAAAAATGAATACATAAAAATTAAAAAAACTGACAGTTCTCAGCTAACTTTAGTATCACAATAATAATAAAGTTAGCCGACATTTTTTATTTTGCTTAATTTATTAAATTACAACTAAAAACTATTTTTAAAAAATTGCACTTGTAATTTTTGAAGTTTTAAACAAGTGAAAAATTTTTTTTTAATTTTTTATAGTTATAGTACCATAACTTAAAAAAAATGTTTTTTTAAATCAGACCAAAAAATTACAATCCAATAAAAATTCCTCTAGATTATGATAATAATTTTTGGTTGATTAATCTTGCAGGTGTAATCCCGGCTGGACAGGAGCATTTTGCGACGAGTGCGTGCGCTACCCGGGTTGTATCCACGGAACCTGCCAGCAGCCATGGAAGTGTGACTGCAAGGAAGGCTGGGGCGGGTTATTCTGTAACCAAGATCTAAACTACTGCACAAATCACAAGCCATGCCTAAACGGGGGCACCTGCTTCAACACAGGCCAAGGCTCCTACACCTGCTCGTGCGCGCGTGGCTTTACAGGAACAGAGTGCCAGACATCTCTCTCGGACTGTCATTCCCAACCTTGCATGAACGGCGGAGTCTGTACAATGACAGGCAACGGCACCAAGAACTACCAATGCACATGTCCGCCATCTTACCGCGGGCGCCATTGCGAGCAAAGCTCTCGTTCCTGCAAAGAGTCCCCCTGCAAGCACGGCGGCACCTGCGTCGACGACTCCAAGGGGTATATCTGCCAGTGTCCTCCAGGATACACCGGACCCGACTGCGACACGAAGATCAACGAGTGTTCCCCGAACCCTTGCGTCAACGGCGGAACCTGTTCCGAGACACCGAACAGCTATCAGTGCACCTGTCCCACCGGTTTCACAGGTCAGCGCTGCGAGGTGAACGTGGATGATTGCCAGGGTGATCCGTGTCTCAACGGCGGCACCTGCATCGACATGGTCAACCGGTTCCGCTGCCAGTGCGTTCCAGGATTCGTCGGGCTGCTGTGCCAAGACAAGGTCGACTACTGCCTAGCCAAGCCTTGCGCCAATGGCGGGAAGTGCATCACCGGAACCAACGACTACAAGTGCATCTGCAAGCCTGGCTTCGCCGGGAAGGACTGCAGCGTTGACGTCGACGAGTGCAGCAGCGCCCCCTGTCGGAACGGCGGAACCTGCGAGAACAGAGTGAATGGGTTCTTCTGTGATTGCAAATCCGGGTTCCGCGGCGACACCTGCAGCGAACCTGACACTGGGCTTCTTGTTCCCAGGCCTTCAACCTCTATTACCAGGAACTCTGGTGTTCCTCCGCCCTCTGGCGCCAGTTACTGGTCAGGGAACCTCTCGCGGCCGTCCGCCGAAGCTCGGGACGCCGGATTAACCACAGAACACGTGGTAGTGATCGCTACCTTATCAACCGCGGTTCCCGCGTTTGTTCTCGTGGCGGCGCTGGCTGTCATGTGCATGAAGCGCCGCCAGAAAAGGGAACAGGCGCGGGCAGACGAAGAAGCTCGGCTGCAAAACGAACGGAACGCTGTTCACAGCAGCCTGAGCAAGCGCGCCAACGGCAATTCCAACTCGGGAGTCAATATGGTTGGACACCAGCCGGGGCTAATTGGCGTTCCCAATGGTCATAGTTCCATTAGCATCAACGGTGGTGGCAGCAGTGTCTGTTCTCTTGGCGCCGGGGATTCCCATATGATTAAGAACACCTGGACTGCCAGCAAAAGTGTCAACAATGCCAGTATCACTAGGGATGATTTAGATTCGTCCTTTCAGACAGATGGCGGGCTGGACATCACTTGTGGGTACAAACCCGAGCCGATTTTGTCAGACCCGGGGAGGTCGAGGACGCCCAAGCAGCTCAACACCGAGGCGGCTGCGCATCGTGCTTCTCATCACTTTCAGAAAGACAAAGACATTAGTGTTGTTGGTGTGTTGGAGGGCAAGAGGACGTCCATGTTCTCCAGTGCGTCGGACTCGTGTTGCAACGCGGAGGCCGCTTTGCTAAAAAGGCCCGCGATACAAGACAGTGCGGGTGGGGGGTGTGGTGGTGCTTCTGATGGTAGTTGCGGGGTCTACGTTATCGACGATCATTATAGACATGACGCGACACTAGCGGCGACTCTCGCTACTGAAGTTTAGTCCTAAAATATTAGTTAGCGCCCAGTGAGCGTTTTATTTTCACTTGGGAAAATCAGAGACTTTTAAATATTTTTTTTTATATAAATAATTATTATTTTTATATTTTCTTTTTTCACTGTCGCTAATTGTCTTCCGGGTCTCTTGTAATTTGTTGTTTTTTTTTTTTTTTTTTTTTTTTTTTTTTAACACGCTAACTATCGAGATATAACTGGATTATATCGTGTGTTTATTTTTGATCTATACATATTATTTTTAATTATTAAATAGGGATAATAATATAAAGAAATGTAATGAGAGATCTAAGGGGATTTTTTAGCGACACTGAGATTAATTAAGTGAGAAATGCTGTGTTGTTGCCCACCGCATTTAAAGATCCTCAGCCTCCCACCTTAATGTATTTGATAATAGTAATAATAATGATTATTATTATTTAAATGCTAAATGTTAACAACAACAGACACCATCACCGACTATTATTTTGTAAATAATTTATTTATTATTATTATTGTTATTATGCATATAATATTATAACTTTATAAACTCTATCGGTGTTACATCAACTACACGTAATGTCGATATTGTTATTATTATTATGATTATTATTATTACTATTACTATTATTATTATTATTATTATTATTATCATCATTATTTGTCTATCGCATTATCATTGTTCCAGTAATTTAGGTTGCGTGAGAGTTATTTGTAATCCGATTGATGATTGTATATGATATAGTGATAATAATAATAGTAATAATGAATGTACTTGTACATGCGAAATAATTTATGTAAATATCTTTAATTCAACGTATTGTAAAAATTATTGTCCGGATTAATTGACTATTTATTTGTAACTCTGACTATTGGCATGACATATTTATATTTATATTTATATTTATACATATATATACACACGGAAAAAAAACAAGATGATAATGGTTATCATCCCAGATTATACTCAGTGATATATGGATTATACTCATTGTAATCTGGATTATACTAGCTACTATCTGAAATTTTTTTTTTTCACTTTATTATACTGAGTGAAAAAAAAATTTAATATAAAATTATAATGAGTATAATCTAGATTTTTTTTAGCTACTATCTAAAATTTTTTTTTACCATAGATATCACTGAGTATAATCTGAGATGATATTGTAGAGATTTAGGGATTATTTTTTTGGATTTTTTTATAAAATAGTAAAATTAAATTAAAATGCAAAATTGACTATTTATATAGTATATTTGTCCTGTTGAGGAAGAATGGCTAAAGAAGAAAAGAATTTGTGAATACTGCTATGCGGTAAATACTCCCGTGTATGTCGTATGGTTATATGTCGCAAACTCCTCGACAGACGGATGATTCCAGCCAACTTTAAAAGACTTTTTTTCTAGTATAAGTAGCCTCCAACAGAACGTTCGTGATTTAACTTTCAAGAACTTTGGATGAAGGCAAAGACGTCTGGTCGTTTCCAAAAATAATTCGTGTAGAGAAAGAAGAATTACGGCTAAGCCCCTTCCTCTCAGTACTCAGTACGAATGTGAGAACGATAAACTGAATCAACGTTCACTATTTTTATTTTTTTATTTATCAATTTTTTTCAATGAATTTTCATCTTATAATTAAATATAAATATGTATAAAAATATAAATATAAATATAAATAGATAGTTTAATATATTTATACTGATTGAGAATGATATGAGTGTACATTATGTAATTTCTACAGGGCATTTATTTTTTGGCATTTGGTAAATCGAGATTGTTTAATAATTAATTAATTTTTGTTTTTTTTTTTTTTTTTTTTTCCTTTTATATTAATTTACAAAGTTAAAATTATAAAAATTAAAACTCTCGATAGCTTCTTGCTAAACAAGTGACATATTTTGTATTTTTTTGAAAGCGCGCGATTTATATATAATAATTATGATTATGATATTATTTATTTATTAAATGTGATTGCTGGTTGAATGACTAAATAATTATTAATAATAATTATAATAATTATAATAACAATGAAGAAGAAAAATATTATGACGAAAACTTTATAAATGACAATTTACAAAACGCAAAAACAAAGAAGATATATTTTGTTTTTGTTGAAGAAAAAAATAATTAGCAGTTTGAAAAATTAACCAAAACTCCTGGGTGGAAAATAATATTATTAATAATAATATTTGTTTATTAATGTACAGCAAAACCAAAAAAGTATAAAACAAGTAAATAGATATATTTTTTTTTTTGTACTTATTAGACTCAAATTGTAATTATTGTTACCTGGGAGTTTTTTGGTTATTTCGGACGGCTTTAAGCTTACAGCGCCCGTGATATTCTTGCGAGTATTCTTGCAAGTAATTTTTTAAACTCACATAAATTTACCTCTTTCCATTCAGTCGTAATTCGTATAAATATTTAATTATTTTGTATGTGTTATGTTTAATTTAATTGATCAATTGCGATAATAGTATATTGTATGAAGATACGTGTGAGTGAATGACGTGAAGAAATATAAATGTTAATGACTACCGTAAAGACTTTTTTTAGGTTATAAACATTTTTTTGTATAAAATAACTCTAAGTTAAATTAATCAAGAAATGTGTATATTTGTAGTACAACTGTATAATTTATATTTATAATTATTATTATTATATATACTTATATTGTAATTGCTTAATTCGTAATTGTAATAATTATTATTAAAAATCAAGTTGTCATTAATTATTAATTAATGATTAATTGTCATGTAATAGTAATAATTATGCATATAATTATTATCATATTGTGTAAATAACTGAATTGTCAATATATGTCATAAGATTTAAAAACAAAACTGTGAATGATTAATAATTATATAATTTAAAACATTAATTATTGTCTTTATTTATTTTTATTGTTAAGTTTTCTTCCTATAATATTAAGGGGTTTAAATCAATTAATTATTGCAAAAAAAAAAATTCACCGAGAAGAATATAAAAAGTAAAATTATCTATATTATCCCTAGATACATAATTAAAAAATGACCTTGTATTTTGAGAAATATTGACATTTTTAAAGATATAAGCTCATCCCGATGTTACACTTATCAAGACCTTTCATTTGAGTACCCACATCAATTTTTCATATATTTATATATATTATATATATGTATATATGAAAAATATATCAAAAATGCATGTGGGTACTCAAATAAAAGGTCTTGATGAGCCTGACATCGGGATGAGCTTATATCTTTAAAAATGTCAATATTTAAGAAAGTACAGGGCATTTGAACTAATATTTAGTGAACTATTGACATTTTTAAAGATATAAGCTCACTTAGAGATTACACTCATCAAGACCTTTTATTTGAGTACCCACATCAACTTTTTATATATTTTATATATTTATATATATCATATATATAAAAAATATCATTAGTTGACAAGAGAACTAATATTTAGTGAACTATTGACATTTTTAAAGATATAAGCTCACTTAGAGATTACACTCATCAAGACCTTTTATTTGAGTACCCACATCAACTTTTTATATATTTTATATATTTATATATATCATATATATGTATATATGAAAAATATATCAAAAATGCATGTGGGTACTCAAATGAAAGCTCTTGATGAGTGTAGCATCGGGATGAGCTTATATCTTTGAAAATGTCAATATTTAAGAAAGTACAGTGCAATTTAACAAGAGTAATCATTTAATAAAGCAACATTTTATTCATTCATAGTTCATATAATGGTTGCAAGGTTGCTAGTATTTATGAAATCATTTATAATGTTGAAAAATAATTTATTAACAGTTAATGAAATTATTTTAATAATTAATTATCTGTTTTTTAAAATCATGTCACTTGATAGAATGATTGAAGGGTGAAAGATGTCTTCTGTTATAAAGTTCTGGTATAAATTACAGTATTTTACTTATTAGACTTTTTTATTGGTTAAATAATGATAATGATAATATATCCGTGTTTTATTATATATTTACAGTGTAGATATTATATATAAATGTAAGTCGAACGCGAGTTTTCAAGAGTCAAAAGGTCCTTGCATAGATGATACTACTTGCCGGTGCATAAAGTGCACAAAGGTACTTGCACTTTACTCTTGCACACGCGGCTGCAGAATCTTGAGAACGTCTCGAGAGAAAGAAAAACGAGAATGAACGCGGAACCGAGTAGAGTGTAATATGAAGAATATATATGTGAAGATATGAACAAGTATATAAGGTATGTAATAGTAATAGTAATGAAGAAATAAATTTTTCCAAAATTTATTTCTTCATTTAATTAAAATATTAAAATTTAAATGAAGAAATAGGATATGCGTTTGCAGGTAGAGAGAGTGGGGGAATTTATAAAGATAATAATAAATGGGTTGGCAAAATAAGTGAGAGTCTGAGATGGTCTGCGACCTCAAAGGCCCGAATCATTGAAGAATGTCAGAGGTCAGCGGCGATGGTCTTACCACGGCGACACGCCGCGTAACTCCAATTATATTACTCATCTTATATCTATTTATTCCTGTTATTATTGTTATTTATTTCTCATTGTTGATGTTGATGCACATAGTATGAGTTTCTGTTGGAAGAGATACCAAGTAAAGGGTTATAATAATCACCAGGATCCGTGCCACTCGGTCATTGGTGAATGTACCGTACTGTTTCGTACCTCGTATCATCTTCACATTCCACTAAATCCTATGAACCCTATTGACTATCTTGACATCCATTTCCTGGAACTTATAATTATAATGCCTATTAAATCAATCCACTTTTATAAACGGTTTTATATTACTTCAATCATTTCTTCTTTGGAAGTATATTTAGAATTTTTTTTTATTAATTAAAACTACACTCAAAAATTCTCTATCTCTAGATACATAATTAATAAATTACCTTGTATCTTGTGAACAATTGACATTTTTAAATATATAAGCTCATCTTGATGTTACACTCATCAAAAGCTTTCATTTGAGTACCCACATGCATTTTTGATA